TTTTTTGGTAGTTAATTATTCTTTTTTTTTGTTGGTAATGAAAATTGTTGAAGAATTTATTCTATGCAATAAAGAAAGCATGTTTATTGAGAAAAAAAAAATACGTTTCAGAGTTATAGTGTTTTTCTAAGATTATGTTTTATTGAAGTTTAGGTTTTATCTAATGGAAAGATAATCCAAGTAGGAAAACATAAAATTGAATTCTTTATTACTGATATGTGATTCGAAAGAAGAGAATTTGCAATTTAAATTGTTTAATATTATGGAATAATGTAAGGAAAGACTTTGTAAGTTGTACTAAACAGACGATATTTTTAGATGTCAAATACACAAATGTATTGAATTCGTTTTTAAACATTCAAAAGATTTCATATTCTAAATGATTAATTAATATTTTTATCAGCAAATATTACATATATTAAATAAAATAATCTTTTGTATTGTTTGTTTTATTCTTATATTTTTCTTTTTATAAAAAATTGGTATGATTTCAGACATAAAAAGCTATATATTAATTAATAATTAGGATCTAGAATAAGGTTTTTCTTTTTTATTGCATGTATAGCTATGATCTTAATCAATTTAATCAAACAAATGCAATATCAACTATATAGTCTAAATGTGTTCGTCTTATTTTAAATTATTTTTATATTTGTAGTTTAGTTGATTAAATAATTAGTTATTAAGAATAGTCATAGGATAATTTGAATAATTCTCGTTCGCAATTATTCTCGAAGTCATTCTAGTTTCATAAACAAATAAGTTTTCAAATTTCATTTGAATAAAAATACATATTTTCGATTGATTTGCATATCAAATATTTGATTTTTTCGGTTAGATTGAGGGAACTATCATTTAACAAACCTTAAAAGGTTCTTTTTTTTTTTTTATTCTCGATACTTTGTATTCATCATTGTATACAGTAGATGGAAGAAATACACGTATACGTTAATAGTTTCACATACAAAAAAAAAAAACGAGAAAAAAGACTTTATTCTTTTTCGCACTAATCCTTTACTCATTGGTTTGATTACTTATTTGACCCATAATATTGTCTGTTCTCTTACAAACTCGTAAAAAATAATATGCAACACTATCGAAAGCAAATAAATATATATATATATATATACATATATATGAAGAAAGAACCGATGGAAGGATCACGTACGAGAACAAAATTACTATAGTACAATATATTTTTATTTCTACAACATACAATATAATCTATGAAATAATATGAACACATTAGTTGATAAAAATATTTCACAATCTCAACTTTCGAATCTAGATCAAATTCATATTGACAATCAATTAAACGATGACAATAAACATAAGGATTCCTTTTTACCACGATTAATGCAATGGTTACATCTCACCAAACGATGGAAACCTGAATCGACACCAGAAGTATGTAAACATATGCATAGAGATTGTCTCGTTTTTGTAGAACTTTGAGGAGTAGATAAAAAAAAATAGGGTTTGATATGTCTACACGTTCTCGAGAATTGCTTACAAACCCATAATTATCTAACAGTGTATTAACCATTCGTATATATGGTACAGCGTCTATCGTCAACAGCGTGTAGTTGTTATTTCTAGGAAGTAAACGAGATATAAAAAAAAAACAATCTTTGCGTGTACTTTAAGGGTCGAATAGTATTTGGTACTAATGTTAATAATAATAATGACAAGAAGAATAACGAAATCATGTGTATAAATGATATTCCGTTTGTTATTCCAAGACGATTAGAAGATATTCGTCAAGAAACTACAACAGATTTTGAACGAGCTAAACTTATTATACGTCGTATGGATGAATATCTTGTTTCGCCTGAAGATTTAGATGAAGCTAAACGACAACGTCATATAGATACATCACTTGGTTTAAGTGCTTTAGCCGAAGCAGCTAATAAAATACAAAAAGTATCATTTCGTGAAGTACTTAGTATAGATGAAACATTACCATTGGCATCAAGATGTTTATCAGAAAAAGATTCATCTGTTGATAATATTTTACGTAAAGAAGAAAAAACTGATCCAATAACAGATTTTCAAGAAGCACATGATTTAATTGAATTTGATGAAGCAATTGAGGAACATCGTAAAAATTTATTAAAAAAAGAACCAAATAAATTGTCCGATATGATTTATTTAAAATTTTGTTTAATGCTTCAATTACAACGTGATGAAACTGAAAGTTGTTTACGTATATTTTTACATGATATTATATTTAAATTTCATTTAACTGGCTTTCGTTTACGTTGTGAAATTCATGTTAAAAAACCAATTGAACATGATCTTGTTTTAGAAAAAGTTCTTAATGAATCACATTTAAGTACAAATTATTCAGCAGAATTAATATTTTGGTCGGCAGATTGGATTATTCAACAAGAAGTTGAATTATATATTGTTATGAAAGTTGAATCTTTATCAATAGATAAATATATGGGTTCAAAATTTTGGGATGTGGCACATTTACATGTTAAAAATGTTCCACATGGAGCTTCGAGAGTCTTTTTACGTGAACTTACACCCGTTAGTCGTCCACATAAAATAGTAAGTTGAAATTTTCGATGAAATCGTTTTTAAATGTGGCTTTGTTTTTTTTTTTACTAAGCGTTCACGTGGTTTTAATGTTGGACAAGTAAAAATTGAAGCAGCATATTGGCCTGATAAATCTCAATTATCAATTAATATTGTTAAAGTTAGTCATTCACAAGCAGAACGATTATTACGAGCACCAGGTATAATATGTTTGTCTTTTCTTTTTGTAAATTCAAGGTTTTTTTTTTTATTATTTAACTTGTTTAGAAACATGTGTTGAAGTTATTTTTCAAGGTCCATTTGATATATATGATATAAAACGAACGAAGATAGCTGATCGTTCATTAAATCCAACATTTAATGAAGAATTTTTTTTTCAAATGCCAGAAAAAACAGCAGTTAGTGATATTACAGTTGATTTGGTATTTCTTGAAAAGTTATCCTTAACTCATCATCCTTGTGTACTTGGAGTATTAACATTATCAAAACATACAGATTGGGAGCCTGTAAGAAGATTTTGGACTGATGTGGAAGAAAATCCAAACATTAAATGGAAAAATAGTTTTCTATTTGAAGGAAATGTCGATGAATAACAAGTGAAATAGGCTTTTTTTTCGTTGTATTATTGTTTTAATCAGTTAATAATGTTTTAAAGAAATAGATTTTTATTTTTTATTTTTATTTCTTATAGAAATTTTTTTTTTTCAATTGAAAATATGAACAAATAATTTTTTTAATAGAAATAAATCTCAGGATACATACGATTGTCTTTTTCTTCTATTAAATTCTGTATAACTGTACAGTATATGATAATTGGTATATTATAATAAAATCAAAGAACAGATAACTAGAATCATTATGCATGTTCACGATATGTATTCGAACATAAGTTGTGTTCAGTAGTACTCAATCTCGGTCAGTTACATTGCCAAACTGAATCATCATAATCAAGAAATATAAACTATTGCTCCTGTTCTCGTTTATTTAAAAACAAGCTACGAAAAAAAAGTATTAATATCATTCAGAAAAAAAAACAACAAATAATTCAAAAACATTTAAATAGTATAATTATTATAATTAAATTCAACTAAAATCATGTTGATCTAGGGGAACTCTTTCTTCAAATCAATTTGCATTTGTCTGTATAAATCATCTTCTGTATCGAATATTCCTTTCACTTTTTTTTCATCTATAAATTTTGATTTGTATTTTTCCTTATTACCACAAAATATATAAACACTATGTAAAGTATCTCGATCAGATACAAGTGAAACAAGACATCGAGCAAGATGACCAGACATAATAGCAACAAGTTTCACATTAGGATTTCCATTAATGAATTCATTGAATTGATCAGTCGATTCAAAATAATGCCACTTTACAATACGATTTGAAATACTTTCGAAACGTTTTTTTAATGCAAGATGTGTATTAGCTTCACCAATATTTTGATCGAGCCAACAAGCCACAAGAGGCGGAGATGATGACATTGTTTTAATTCTGATTGACAAATGAAAAAGTTAATAGTATTCACACGTCTTTTCTACAACGTAGTGAAAAAAAAGGAAGAAAAAAATGAATCAGAAAAAAAAAATGGTTGGTTTTTTCCAACTTTGATGTTTCTACAGAATACGTAGAAATATATTTCTCAATCATTCAATTACCGTTTAAACTTGTCGTAGAATATATGATTTTTTACGTGTATCACTTGTAATATCTTATTATAATAGTAAAATGTTAATTTTTAAATACTAAGAATATATTTTGTTTTAGTTATACCAAAGAAAAGGTCTATAATAACAACACATTTGTGTTCTCAATATCTCCCATACATTTAATGTTCTTGTCTCGATAGAAATAAGCATTATTGAAATTATTGAGTCATATTATACTATAAAACTTCAATTTCCTCTTTTTTATTTGTTGATTATAGGCCAGTTATAATAAAAAAAAATGGTCGGATCAATACCTTGATTCTTATTTAAAGTCTATATCGTCATTTGATGAATGCAAAAAGTCTTAGAAAGGTTGTCATTGTTGTTATTAAAATTATTGATTATGAAGAATGACAACAACTTTGATGCATAGTTCTAAGCACTAATGACATCTATCAAGTACAATCAAATTGTTTCAAACATGATTTTTTAATTTTTTATTCATATTCAATTATAAAATAAATAAATCTAGACTGTTTATTAATTAGATTATTGAAAGTATATTTCTTGATTCTAAACCTTTGTTCCCAACCAAATGAAATAACCAATATAAAAGCAGCTGAATCATGAATGGGATATCGTTAAAATAATCTTTGTCTTCTTTAACAATTTGTTTCATTTTTTAACTCCTAACTTTTACAATTTGATTAAATCATGTTTCTATTAAAAATTGAATCTTCTAGTATTGAATAGATATTATTCTTTCCAGAATTGTTTTTGTCAGATTAGTTGTTCCGAAAAATGGATACAACAGACATAGGAATTACATCAACAATAATTGATACAACAACAACAGCAGCAGCAGTTAAGCGTCGTGATCCTCCTCCATTGAATGTTTATGTGCGTATTCGTCCATTTATCGGTGATGAACTTGAACGTGGCGAAAATCAAAAGCTATTGCAGATTATCGATGAAAAACATATTTCTGTCAAAGTCTGTCCAACAACTAATAATAATATTCGAAATATACAAGCATCATATAATGAATACGAGGTAATTTTTTTTTTCATTTAACTAAAATTCAAATAGTTCTCTATCAAATATATTTCATACATTGACTATGAAAGAAAGGTTTCTGAAAAATTAAATACAGTAGTTTTCAGATCTCAGAAGACTGAAAATTAGTTTGAAGAGTACTATCCTCAAGTGCACAAATTCTTGATTAAAATGAGGAATTGACGTATTTCCTCCGGGCTTGATGAGCATCACAAAAAGAAAAAAAATACTACTTTTTTTTTAAGCATCACTGATAAAATTAGCTTCTTTTTTTTAATTTTGTGATGGTTGTAACCTTTCAAGAAAATACTATTACTACTCATGTTCTTCAAAATTTTGTGTTCTTTATGATGATACTAACAATAACAGATTTTCACACTGTATTCTGAAAACCTAGAAACAATGATGATTGAGATTTCACAAGTCTTACTCTCATAGACTATCTATGAAATTTAATTGTAGAATGATTTGATAAAGAATTTCATAGGCTACTTGAATCATCATTTTGTTTAAAGTTATATAGTTAATATTGTATAAAATCTATCTGAAGTTGTATTAGTGAAGAATCATTTTTTGAGAAGAAGAAGAGTCAGAAAAAAAAGTTTCTTACAGAACAAGTAATCATTCATAGTATCTCTCGTTTTGCTGTCAAAAAGATAAAATTATGAGTTTTTATTTTCAGGTAAGTCGAATATTTGATCATCGTTGTACACAACAAGAATTATTTGAACAAATTCTCGAACAACCAACTAATGAAATATTTACTGGTTCAAATTGGCTTCTTTGTACACTTGGTCTAACAAATAGCGGTAAGTATTTTATTTTTTAGATATATTTGATCGATAAATAAAATTCTAGGTAAAACTCATACAATGTTTGGTACAGCAGAAGAACCTGGTTTAATTCCACAATGTCTTCAACGAATATTTTTAAATGTTGGTCAAAATATTGATGATAAAGTTCTTTTTAAACCAGATGGTTTGGAAAATTTAATGCCAACAATTGATAGTAATCTTGATTTAGAAATAAATGCAAGAAATTATATTTTTAAAGATGATAAAAATAATAATGTAAGTCAGAGTTTTAGAATAATTGATTTTAATATTTTTGTTTTTTGTTAGCGTCGAATTCGTTTACCAAATATTGTTCAACAGCAAAATAGTTTTCAAGATCTATCTATTGAAGGTAACAAGAGAAAATATTAACTTAAATAAATAAAAATTGAAATTATTCAAAATAGATGAATATTATTCTCTATGGATATCATTTTTTGAATTATATAATGAAAATATTCTTGATTTACTTGTTCAACCAAAAGATATGAAAACACGTAAAAATCTTCGTCTTATGCAAAATGATCATTCAACAATTATTAAAAATCTAATACAAATACCTGTATTTAATATAAAAGAAGCTGAAGATATTATTAAATTTGGTTATTCGAATCGTGCAACATCAAAAACAAATCTTAATGAAGCATCATCAAGATCACATGCTGTTTTATGTATTACACTTATTACAATTAATGAATTTCATGAGGAACCCATAATGAGTCATATGTGTAAGAAAATTTTATTAATAGTTTTTTTTGTTAGACTCACATTATGTTGTTCAAAGAAAACCATAATAAATGTAATTTTTAAATCGAGATTTTGCGGCTTCTATCCTCGTAGTTGAGGAACAGGGAAGTGTAACAATCAAAGGCGCTGAAATACATCTGTGAACTTTCTAAATAATGCACTGTTGGAATTTTGCGGGGAGAGAAAAACTTCTATCCAAGATGTCATGGATAATGGATGGTGTTGCATTGATTTGTCAGAGTTGTCATGTGACCAATCTAAAAAACGTGCATGGATCAAGTTATACACTTTGGAAAAAAGAATAAATACAAGTGTTTTTGACCTTATCAAAACATATGATGAATATCTACAATAAGCTTATTTGCCAGATAAATCAATGATTAGATTAAATATAATGATAAATAAAGAAAAGTCGAATATGAAAATGAAAATTAACAAGGCAAGCAAAAAAAATAGAGTATCAGTAGAATAAAAAGAGAAAATTTCTACTCGAACTGCTGATATAAATTAAAAAAATTTGTGTTTTTGACCATCGATTATCTTTGAAAAACCACTTTAGTCTGATCGAAATGGTACATATTAGGTATTTTGCACTAGTGTAATGAGGTAAAAGAATATAGATGAATGCTACATTCTAGCTTTCAATGCAATACGTTGATAAATTATTTGTTTTCTATTTTATTGTTTTAATTTTATTTGTTAATTAGATATTTGTGATTTGGCTGGTAATGAACCATCAACTGGTACTGGAAAACAACTTGCTGAAACTTGTAATATAAATACATCATTAATGACATTTAAAGATTGTATTCGAACATTAAATGAAAATCAAACAACTAAGTATAAATAATAAAAATATTTAATCATTTTTAATATTTAATTTAAATATTTTAAGAAAACAAATGCTTGTTCCTTATCGAAATAGTATATTAACAAGTATATTTCGTCCATTTTTTGTTGGTCGTGGTCGAACAATTATATGTTGTAATGTTAATCCATGTGCAACATTTGTTACACAAACAAATGATTTATTAAAATTTTGTGCATTAGCACAAAAAGTTTGTTAAACGTGATTTTTGTTGATTAATTTGTTGTCTTGTTTTTGCACTATTTTTAGACAATTATTGTACCAAATGAACCAAAAACAGGCGCCGGTGGTTTAATAAGGCAGCAACGAAAGTCAAAACAAAAAGGTCCTAAACGTCTTGTTAAAGATGGACCTTTAAAAGAAAAGAGTAAAAAAGATATTGTTAGTAATGATGATGAAATTGAAGGTAAATATTTCATTGATATTGACTGATTAATCAAGACTATTGAACAATCCAAAATAAAGGGCAAGTTACCATTTTTCGAATAACTTCTGATAGGAACAAGATAGAGAGCTGCGGTTTTCACCATTCGAAAGAGCAATGTCCGGGCCGTCGATTAGTATAAAGCTCATTAATATGAAACTTGCTTTTTTATAGGTGCTTTTGGATCAGCATTTTTTCGTTTGAATATTTTGATTAGTTTTGACAATAATCTTAACTTAAATTATGCCAAAATGTAGCTCAAATCGTCCTTTTTTCACCATAAAATGATCATATATTTCAGTATCTCTCAACCTTCTATTCTAAGTGGAATTAGAAAAAGACGTTAATTTTATAGCGAAAAAAGGATGATTTGAGCTACATTTTGGCATAATTTGAATTGAGATTATTGTCAAAATTGATCAAAATATTCAAAGGAAAAAAAGTTGATCCAAAAGCACCTATAAAAAAGCAAGTTTCATCTTAATGAGCTTTATACTGATCTCTATCTTGTTCCTATCAAAAGTTATTCGAAAAATAGTGAGGTGCCTTTTATTTTGAAACGAACAGTAGATTACTATCATCTTCATTGTTTGTTTTTTGGTTTTAAAAAGATACATTCTTTGTAATAATAAGATCTATAACGAACAATTTTCTTGTTTTTTAATAGAAATCGGTATTGAGGCAATCGATGGATCATCATTCACTATCCCAACTAATATCAAATCAGTAATGATATTTACTCATATATCTTACATACTAATTTAGAACATATTCTAGATAAAGTATTGGAAATATTGTACGAAAAAAGCATTAGATTTATTACAAAAACAAGCATCAAATCGACGAATTTTAATGATTCAATTACAGTAAGTATAAATTCATAATTTTATTTTTTGTGAGACATACACATTATGTTTCTCGAAGAAAAATATACGGACTGTAAGTTTTAAGTCGAAGTTTTGCGATTTGTCTCTTTATATAAGGAGGGAGTGGTGGTGGGAAGACGGACTAATGGTTATTAGGAACATCTCTATAGCAATCGAAAAGCAACAACTTGAAACTTCTTTCCAAGATTTCGTCCCGAATGGAACAAGACGCCTAACGGAATTAATAAAAAAAACAAGCATATAGTTCCCTCGAAAATTTAGATAACTGAAACAAGTTTGTGAATATTCAAAATAGTACAATTTGTTAGTATTCCGCAGATCAAGATATAAAATAGTGCATTTAAACCTATTGTAGATATAATCGATATGTACAACAGGAAGCAAAAAATAGTGTCAATAAATAAAAAAGAAAAAATTTCTGTTTGAAATGCAGAAATAAATGAGAAAGATCGTTTTTCTGGCGATCGATTATCCTTGGAAGAACATATATTTATTTTAGGAATTATAGACACGTAGTACAAAAGGTACAAGCTTCTTGTGAGATAGCTCGAGTCTTTGGAGAGGCATCACTCTTTGGTCTTCATGCTGGATAAGACATTGATATAATGAGGGGTAATGAACACATGTTAGTTCCACAATTTAGCCCTAAAAAAGCTGTGTTGACAAGCTTTTTACTTACATTTTTTATTTAAATTTAGTCAAGAAAGAGTTCAAACTGTTCAATATCTTCTTCATCAACGTGAACAAATCGATATATTAGCAAATGAAAAACAAACAGTAAGATCTAATCGATTGATTTCTCAAATATATTTTTATTTTAGTTATCTGAAAAATGTGAAACATTATTAACAAATCTTCGTCTCGAAGAAGATAATCATCATCATACACAACAATTATATAATGATTTAATAATAACTGAAAAACAATATCGTCAAAAATTACTTAAATTAGAAAAAGAATATAAAGAGAAAAATCTTCATTCACGTAATGAAATTGATTTATTACAAACACAATTAAAAAATCTTCAACAACAATTTGAACAATTAACAAAGGAACATTTAAAAACTATTGAAGAAATCAATCAAAATAAAAATCAAACGAATGAATATGAACAAAATTTACAAGATGAAATTCAACGATTAAGACGTGATCTTGGTCTTGAACTTTATCGTAAACAAGATGCTGAAAAAAAAGCTCGAAGTTTTGAAGATAAATTACGTCATGAACAAACACAATTACAAAAAATTCAATATGATTTTACTCAAACAAAACATGATCATAAAACTTTACAAGTTAAATATGATGCACTTCAATTAGAATTAATTGAAATGCATAAAAATATGAACAAAACAAATTCACATACAATAGTCAATAAATTTAATAATATGTCAACCACAATTAATCAACAGCAATCATATATTCAAACGCAACAATCTATTACTCGAACAAAACGACGTACGAATGATGAAAACCAACTTGAACAAGAAATTAAAAAACCAAAACGTGTTACACGTAGTCGATCAGGAGCTAGTTCAAATAATACTTCGGTAAATACTCATCAACAAGATGAAGAAAATAATGAAAAACAAACTAAACGAATAACACGTAATGGATCAACAGCAAGTTCTTCTAATACTATTCAATTGCCAATCAAACAAACCAAAAAGAAATCATCCAATGTAAAATTTCTTTTTTTTTCTATTTCACAAATTTTTTTCACTGTATAAAACACAGCCTAAAAAGAATATTAAAGTATAGAGGTAAAAATTTGGATACTCCCATTCATACACAGACCGAGACAGATGTTGCTGATAGACGATCAAACACCGTATATCACTAATATATATGAACTACTTCCCTATTGCATTTCTGGAAGGTGAAGTAAAAGGATGATGAAGAAATGTGTTTCAAAATAAATAGAATAAAACAATTTTTCTGTGATTAACAACATCAGTTATATCATCTTTATCATTTTAATCCTGCAAGTATTGTACTAGTAGCTTTTTTTTTTCATTTAGAATGGTATTGTTGATTCGTCATCTGATATAAAAACTAAACCTAAAACAGCGGTTGTACGTGGTCGAACTAAAAAGCAAACAAATGAATTAGTACCCATACCTGTACAACAACAATCACCATCACATACTTATGCTACTATTGAAAGAGATATATCACTTGATAGAGCATCATTCGCTACTGTTGATGTTACTTCAACAACAACACAAGTCGTTTCATCAGTTGATACAATTAATACTACACCTAAACCGTCAGCATTTAAACGTATTCAATCATTATTTCGTCCTAGTCCCAGTATATTTTTTTTTGTTTTTTATTTTTTTAAACACTTAAAGAAAAAATGAAAATATCATTTTGGTTTTGGATATTTTAGCATCAACCAATTCAACACGAATTAATCGAGTTTTACAAACTAAATCAACTGTAATAGCCTTTGGTTCATCAACACCAACACAACGTATGCCTCCGACAATAATTAAAACAACAACACCAGCACCAATTATTCCATCAACTCCGGCTGTATCAGCTGTTAAAAAAATTCCATCACCTAAGGGAAAATATAATCTTCGTACACGTCTTTTTGCTAATCCGACCTACTCAGAAAAAGATGAAGATGAGGTTAATTAAATTAAAAAAAGAGATCAATTCTTTATATTAATTTCTTTTCTTTTGTTGTTTTAGAAAAAATCTCGAACAAGAAAACCGTTGCGAACACGCAAATAAATTTTATATTGAATATCTACTTTAATCATTTATATCTGCTTATTCTCTATGATCCTAGAGATTTCTTTTTATGACGCTTGATTAATAATTGTATTTGTTATTATATTATATTGTACATGTATATGTACAACTAGGTATGCTATATTAAGTTCTTAGCATGTACAGATATGTATCTTATATTTTGTTGTCTGGACTTTTTTTTTGTTTATTTGTTTGATAATCGTTCTTTTGTTCTCTAGAATTGCAAATAAAAATCTCACATGCTACAGAAAGAAACTAAGAGAATTAAATATTTGTTTTTTTATAAAAATTTGTGATTAACTCTATCATGTTTTAATGATTATTAAACTATGATCTGTGTTTGAATGAAATTGGAGAAAACAGTATCTTATTCAATTTGATAAAAATAAAATCACCAAAAAGGATTATTTTTCTATAATGATACAAAATTCCATTGATAATGTTGTCATTGGTATTTGGCATGACAATTTTTGATAGAAGACGTCTCAGTATGGATAGTATAACATTTTATTAGATTTATTTTTATCATTAATCTCATCGCTTGTATTCCAAAAAGATGCTTATATAAGAGAACAAGAGAAAGAGTTGAAATTTCGTTAACAGGTTTTTACTCAACATTATTTTAGTTCCGTCACAACGATTAGAAATAAATTACTCATTAGAATAGATAGTGTACCAATAGTTGTTATTAGAAAACTGGTGGATTGTCAATGGTAAAAAAATAAGTAAGAATGTGGATGTGAGTAAAAATACAGCTACCACCAGATCTCACATCCAGTTAATAATACAAACTTGAAATTCGTATACGAAATACGGGTAAAAAAGTCATACATGTATAACTGATTTAGTAAATTTGCTTTGTCATTACATTCGGTGCACTGCATTTATTGCACTTTTCTATGTAAGAGAACAACTTGCATAACCAAAACTTTGTTTTTACTCGACGAAATGTCTTTGTTTTGTTCTCCTCTTTCACGAATAAAGTGTGTTTAAGTTTATGCAATAGAAGAATGTTTACGATGATAAATAATCTTGACCAGAAAAACAAGTCAAAATATCTTTTGGAAATATTTTTGCTAGATATGGATTCATGAGCTTTGCCATTTTTGAAAGAAAAGCCATTAGTGAGCTTGGTTGAAATTCGGTAACCGGTGGATCGACTTTGATAGATTTAACCAAATTCATTCTAAATTTAGGTAGCGACAAATCCAATTAGCACTCGATTGGAGATTGCATGTATCCTACAATCGTAAGAGCACCAAAATGTTCATGTACATTGAAACGATGAACAATCAATACTAGTTAATGATGCTACTAACCATTGTTAATTTTATATCTCAAATAACTTTACAACTAATCGAGCTGACTCTTTTTATACAGCTGTAAATAATCTTATGTTAAACTGATTTCTAGCATGATTCATATTAACTAATCGAGGAAAAATATCAATAACGTCTATTTGTATATTTGATTGCTACAAATGTTCTCATCGAGCGTGTCATTTAATGAAATCTTAGATATAACTCAATTCTTAAGAAGGGATACAAAAGTCTTTGAAAGAAAATCATATTCTATCAGATCATGTTGCTGATTTCTATACCAGTCAAGGTGTCTTTTTTGTCGTAGAAAGAGTAATATCTGAGCTGTATCAAATACCAAGTGAGACAAAATATTTTGCAAGCATTTTTGACTTTTTAATTATAACAGTTTGAATATTAATACTCTTTCATATAAAGTCTATGACAAGAACTATCATTCATCATTCTTGGAAACGACGCACAAACTTAAGTCTTTTCCTTCATTTGTTTTATACTATGCCAAATGATAGAAGTTTTGCAAAAATACAATTCAAAATCTATTTATCCCGTTGCGAAATGATCCGATAATGAACACAAGACTTTCTTTCAAAAAAAATATCATATCTTCATATATAAGCTAAAAATAAATACAAGTTTTCACACAGCATTAAAGAAAGCACTATATATGTTACAAACATCATCAGAAAACATGTTTTTCCTATTTTCGTCGCATATCTGAAAAATTCGCATAAATTTAAAAACTATATTGTTTACTATTAAAGTTACAAGATCTTTAAACGTATTCAGTGTCTCACTCTTTCTTTGATCCGTTCTGCATATATATATATGCTACAAGATTTGTAGATTAGATATTGTTCTTTCCAAAAGCAGAAGAATTCGGGAATACTGGGAAGTCAACAATATGTTTTAACATAAATTAACATTCTTTCAAGGACTTTTTCATCGTAGGTTATAAACACATTGAATAACAATTGTTCCAAAAAGATCTTTGGTATGCTCAATATCAAATAGAAACTGGTCTAGTACTTTCACTCTATTGTATCCAAGGACGTAACTCACCACGGACGGCAAGAAGAGAGATGCAGATAGAGCACAACGTAGGCAAATATCAAAAGAGCAGAAGCTGCATAGTCAACTTTCGAAATCAAGAGGGTATTATTACGCACCACGTATCACCCATTAGCTACATCCATGACTTTATCTATTTATTCAACACTACTTATTATAGAATAGAATTTATATGACTAATTCATAATGTTATAGAAACTTTTTTGTCATCATAATCTGAAGCAATAAGTACGTTATGAAAGAATTTTTTTTTCTCGAGATATCATAAAGACTTATCTTAATTCTTTGTGAACGTAAGACTAAAAAAAACCAAAACATCAAGAAAGGCAAATATACGATAAATATTCTATATTTGCACATTTCTAGGGCTAACATATCAAACACTTGTTACTTGAGAACAAAAGTAGTGATTTTTGTCATTTGGAAGATTTCAATTCAAAATAAAACTCTTGAAATGTTTGCTTAGAAATAATACATATATATAAGACTAATGTCAGAGAATTCATCAGAAAGTAAATATTTTTTTTGTGATTCAGTTCGCTATATTCATGCAAATTTGTTATATTGCAGTGGTTTTTGCAAAGTTTATTAAGTAATATGTTCGATAATGCTGATAAATCTTCTAAGATCTTTGTATGAATTCGAGAAATAATACCTTCCAAGTGTGGAAAGTAAGTTGTTACTAATCGGATGAAAAAAGTACAATAACAACAACGATGAAATGTAGTTTGAAGATCACAATAAAAATAAATTGCCTTAGTAAAGACAACTATTATAAATTAGTTTAGATCGTAAGATTTATTAAGAACTAATGGTTTTCTTTTAAATTTAAATGTACTCGAAGATTTGTAAGATAAGAATTTTTCAACGAAGAAAAATTTTTCGTTCAACAAAAGAAAACTATTAATTTTTCTCCAACATTAATATTATTACTTGTTGATTTCATAATCAATAAAAGTAAAATTTGAAGTTCAAAAGTGTCTTTTCATTGATTTCAACATTACTTAGTTTAATATTCAATATTCTCCTTTGCTGATCTATTCAAAAACGTATTATCATTCATTAAATTTTATGTTGATTTTTATTCTTATATATTTTTGTTGTACACACAATATGATTTATCGTATTCTAATCACCAAGATAATCATTATGTATAAAAAACATAACATAGTGGTTATCTTAAAAAAAGTTATGTTCACTCTAATTGTTTACGATCTGTCCGAATTCAAAAATCTCTTTCAAGTTTGTTGGTCATTGTTTTTATCTGATATTATTATTCACTTGAGTAAGATCACAAAAAGGAATTTGATTTCCACAATAAAATTGGTAAAACGAAGAACCTTTAAGAAACAAAACTAATGTCTTTGCCATTTAACTTCGAATTTCCCTCATAAACTATACAAATATGTATAGGTCGAAATACCCCACGTAAAATCTTGATGTTTATTGGAAAGCTGTTGGTTAGTTTCTTGTAATGAAATAATGAATCTATGCTGATTCGTCTTTTGTGTTGTTATCAGAAGTAGCGCTGGCATGATTGTAGATCAATAAACTTTGATTTACATCAATGTATGAGACCGTTAAAGAGTGTAGGGATGGATTGCGTACTAGATTGTTTTGAACCATGCGAGCCTAAAATAGATGAATAATTTAAAAACAAAAAATAAAAAAACCAAATAATATTCGAGAAAGCTATATGTTTGTACTTAGCACAAATCAAAGATAATGGCGTCGATATCATAAAATCTTACTTAAGGCTGGAGAAAATTTTCTCTATAGATATACCGACAGCCAAAGTCGTGCTCTACAATTCTCCAATATTTTATCGGTTTTCAAGTAATGTCAGAATCATTAATGTTCGATGTATTACGATCTGTTGGTAACTTTTACGAATTTTCATCTTGAGAATACGTAACAACTAACTACACACACGTAAAAAACAGATAAGATATGTGCTATTTTTGGGCATAAAGACAGTTGGATATCACAAGAGATGAAAAACGCAAGAAAGACAAGAGAGGAGAAAACGAAAAGAGACAAGAAAGAAAAACAGAAAAAGAATCTACATCGAAGACAATATAGTCTAATGTTTTCAACATGCATCGTAATAAGTTCTAAACTCTTAACCTCTGTTCTCCATGGACAAAGGACGCTTTCGCTTCTACATTAAAGTGTGTACTGCATTTGCTAGTGAACCAATAGATTTTCCTAATGAACCACACTCTGTCTTCGGTGATCAAGCTCCACCTCTTAGAAAAGTTCAAAGATGATCAAAATAGTTGTGGTGAAGGTCGAGAAGAACTTGAAGACGAAGCACGGTTTGACAGACCAATAATTGAGACAATATCTGATCTGATTATATGAAATAAGTTCGCAACCTTATTGATAATGATGCTTATATTAACATTGACAAATTGAAAGAGCAAAATGGTCTAAAGCATGGTCTTGTCCAACGAATTTCTTCTGATCATCTGAAACTGAAGAAAATTACTACACGCTATATGTCCAATCATTTGACCGATTCTCAACAAGCTAAACGAGTGCGAATATAGCAAGAAAGTTTAGTAAAATTTGGACAATGACCTTGGAGATTATATAATGTAGGGACAGGTGATCAATCGTGGTTTTATCACAAACAAGTTGATCGAAAATCATCAGATATTGCCTGGATAGAAAGCTGAGATCCTCTGCTGACATTGATTCGACGTAGTCGTTTTGCTTCAAGAACCTTATTGTGCATTTTCTTTAAGTCCACTGGTCCTACTTTAATTCATTCTGTTGAATGTGGACAATATATCGATCATCAATACTACATCAATAATTGTTTGCAGACAGGCGTTAACGAAATCAAGAAGCAACGACCCTCGTTGGGTACTCGTGCAATAATACTTCACCACAATAATGGAGAACCACATATTCATGAATATGTGTTGAATTATCTTGAATCCGAATGCGTAACAGTAATGCCACATCCACCTAATGCTTCGGATCTGGCTCCATGTGACGTTTGGTTATTTGACTTGGTCAAACAGAATCTTAGTGATGAAGATGACTTCGAACCGTTGCATGAACCTGTAAGTACGTTTCTGAACTCGTTGGAAAAAGAAGAATATAAAAAGACTTGATGAATGGATCCAACGGATGTAATTATGTGTAAACCACCAGAATGACTATTTCGAACATTTAATGAAATAAAACTTGATAAATTTGTCTATGTATTTTTTTTTGTGTAGTCATGAGTCGCGGCTATTCTTGCTATGCTCTCAATATTATAATATCATCTGAAGATTTATGAAATTTTTGTAGAACTATAGAGCACGGCTTGAACTATCAGCATACAGAGAAAGAAAATTATCACAATCTTTATGATATAAGATTTTATAGGATCGGCGCCACTATTTTTGGTATGCCCTAAGTATATTACTTTAACTTGTATCAATATTTATAATGATTGATAATCTATAGAAAAAAAAAACTATCATCTATTATGTATTACATAATAGATTTTTTATGCTTTAGATATCAGGGGCGTAAGTCATCACTGAAGGCAGGGGCGTAGTCCTTTGAATTGTTTTTTTTTGGGGGGAGAGATTAAACACATTTTTGACTGAGATAGTGCGTATCTAAAAAAATGGATTTCTAGTTGTTTGCGATGTGTTTTTTTTGTGTAGACAATACAGTTCAGGAACCCATGTAAAAAATTTGGATTGAGAATCAGATTCAAAGTCGATTATAATGGCACTATTATAATCTGATTTTAATCAGATTTTTCAGCTTTAAGTGACAAATTTTATTTGATTATCATTTTTTCTATCGATTTTAATCAATTACCAACAACAACTATAATAATAGCTTTAAAACAATCAAAATCAAATAAAATTTGTCATTTAAAGCTGAAAAATCTGATTTGAATCAGGTTATAATAGTGCCATTATAATCAATTTTTAACCTGATTCTTAATCCAAATTTTTTACATGCGAAACACTACAGCAGAAAAGAAGCATGGATTAAAAAGAGGAGAGACGCACACAAAGATGTAATGACAGCAAAATGGATGAGTACAAAAGGGATACACGGTTGTTCCGAGGTAATCCAGATTGAGAGACCCATCTAAATCTTTTTCAGCACTGTAATCTTCTTTTGCTCATTGTGTTACAAAAATACTTTTAACGTAGAAACATCTTATAATATGAAAAAAATTTGATTTTTCTACCTTCCTTCATTTTGACGAAGAAAACTGTTATCGTATGGAGTCAAAAGCGTCTCTAGACGTGTCTAACGCCGAAGGCGTTTACGTCAGCGACTATTGATGAAAATGATACTTTATAGAACGCAGCATTGATAGAAACTTCCTAGAAATAGGTTTTAAGCCTTCAAAATATGGTTAGGCTTATGCAATTGATACCATTTATGCAAGCGAAATTGCTTTGTCGGCAGGTCTCAATTCTATTTCAGTGTTGTTGCGTTCCAAAAACTAAATGGTCGTTGAATGAAACCATTGATATTTGTTTAAAAGTTTTTGCCGCCGAAGACGACCGAGCTCGTGACCATTTAAAAAATAAAACTCTTACGCGTAAAAAGTACTATAAGAAAATGTTTAAATGATATATCAAACTTCTTAGGTCAGTTGTAATTGTAAAGTTCTCACTTTTCGCGAAGCGAAAATGTTTTTTTTTTTCACTTTATATCTTGTTTGATATAGACTTATTTAATTCAGCACTTTTTGCCAAAGAGTTAGTAAGCTTCTACTTCAAGTCTGCTTTCGCCCTTTTTACTAGTGAAAATAACGAAAACTTTCAAGTTTTGTGGGAGGGGGGCGTACTACATAAGCAATTTTTCAAACCAGGGGGCGTTGCTATAGAGAATTTCAAAAGTAGGGGGGCGTAACGCCCCACGCGTTCCCCCTATTTACGCTCCTGTTAGATACATGGAAAAAGTAAAATCTATATAAAATGATTGTAGAATGTGTCATGTGATAATGGTCATTTGTTAACATAAAAACTGGAAGGTCAAACACATTCGATAATAAAATGTTAAAATGATACAGATCGTAACTGTATTCACATAATTTTGTATAGGTTAATGAAAACAAAAAGATGATAAGAATTTTATGTTCATCAACTTACATATGTCAATTTTGGTTGATACGCAAGTTATCGAATGCTGATTCGATAAGAATTGCTGAAATCAAATATCATGCATTTAGTATTTTGTTGATGTGTTCTCGAGTATTGTCTTTTTGCACTTTGATTTTCTATTGGTTATACTAAGTAAATTATATGCACTGCTCACCTTTTTCAAAACATTGATAAAAGCGACATCGTGCGACATACTCAATTTGTAAGAGGTATATGTAGATGTACTCAAAAGACGTTAGATTATTATAGATGTATACTTCTGTTATGTATTGATTATAAAAAAGAAAGAGAGATTGAATTTTTATCGGTGAATTATGAAGTTTTATTTCTGAATATGAATAGTTCAAGTCATAAGAATAATATGAATTTCAATGGTCTTGAGGTCAACAGTTAGAGACCTGTGGTTTTCAGCAATGAAAAGAGAAGAATTTCGGACGTCTTTTTGTCTGATACTATATACGATAAAGCAATTTAAAATCCATTATTTTCACAAAAAAAGGCGCATCATGATAGTGTTCCGTTTCGATAAAATTTTGATTTCGACCTATGCTTCTGATAAAAAAAATTTAAATCTATAGTTCAAGGTACGAGTCAAATGACTATCTTCTTATATCTCAATGTTGAACAAACAAAATTGCGTATCTAATCAATCAAATTATATAGAGTTCTCTTGATTTTTATCGAAGTCTTCTTATCATGAAACACCATTTTCATGCATTTTATTGAATGCTTTAAGAAGTTGTCGAAGTTTAAAATAATTTTATATTATATAGTGTTAGACAAAAAGATGTCCAAAGTCTTTGTCTTTTGATTGCTGAAAATCCTGGGTCGCTAACCATCGTCGTAGTCAAGTCATTGAGCTCACCACTACCATTCGGTATTTCTGACATGAACATTAGTTTCATATTGATTATCAAAACTTAAGATTAATCTTTGACGTTTTTATGAACGTCGGTTTTTGTCTATCATTACACTATAACGTATATTAATTTATAGTACTATTACATTTCATCAAAGTGTTTTACTTTTTATCAAAAGAAAAAATGAATTTGACTAGCAATTGTAATATTGCTTAGAGTCAACTGATAAATTACATACTGTTTTAACTTACATAAATCTGTCTGAAGTGTTATGAATATAAAATGATCATTTATTGAACATACGTATTTTGACAAAACATCTGTTCAATATCATCGCATATGTACTTTTCTAGACATGAACGAAAAAAGATCACTTACATATATCACTCAACGATTTACTAGTTGTAGCCGCCTTATTCATTTTAAAAAAGAAATGATAAAAACGACCATTACTATCATTATTATTGAACTGTAAAAAGAACAAGAGATCATTATATATACATTAATAAAGTTACTAGCCTTTATTCATGGACAACATATATCTACAGAAGAGAACAAGACAATGAAACTTCTTTATGATAATAATCATTCTACACAAAAATTACCAAATAGTCATACATCATTACTTGATTCTCAAATATCACCCTTAAAAGTGAATATTAAATTAAAAACACATTCTCTTACATGTTTGGATATCCCATTGGACACATTAGCTGATTTTAAACATATGTCTTCATCGCTTCGGTGTGATCATCAAATAACAATGGCTGGTAGTGTTGATCTTAATTCACAAATACAACAACGATTAAATGATAAAAATTTCTTTGGTTTCTCATCTTCTCAGCCTTTAATAAATATTGTATCATCTAATAAACCATTACCATCAGCTCAACAAGAATGGCGACAAATTATTAAACATCGTTTTCCATTATCAAATTCATCTTTAACATCTTCATCGTTAAATGATTCTATTGTTCGACTTCGACGCAGTGTTCATTTACAAAATATTCATCAATCATCATTACAAGCTATTGATAAAATACCTAAACAAAAACGTCGTGTTTTACTTAACCGTAAATATAATTTTTTGTTGTCTAGAATATTTAATGTTGAGTTTTCTTTTGCTTTTTCATTTTATTGGATTAAGATAATGGACCTATTCCGAAATTTACTTTTCGTGATTTACCATCATATTCTCGGCAAACATCATCTGGCAATCAATTTGAACAGCCATCGGATTCTCGAATATCTCCATATGTTTCATTACCTGAGATTCAATCTGTTGTCAAACAGATTGATTCAGATAATACAAATATTTTGAATAATAAATCTAAACCATTACCCTCAACTACATCATCATCGTCTTGGAAAAAATCAGATTCTTGGTCATGGAAATCGAATGATTCTCTACAAATTCATTCATTTAAAAATAGACAAATTCATTCAAACATAGTCAATAAACAAATGCAGTATCGCGTAAGTCATTATTATTATTTAGAATTTAAACTTTTATAAAATGATAAAACTATAGTTTGATGATCATTGTCATTCTCACTTACCTGTTATTATTGAATCACCATTACAAAAACGTTCTTCTTTACAAACAATCCATCAAAATGATTCTTATTCTTCAACAAAATTAACAAATATGCATTGTTCAGATTCTTCTTTTCATAATGATAAAATTCAACAGAAATCACATAGAATATATCAAAAAAAGAATGTTTTTCCTCATTCAATTTCACATTATGAAGTATCAGACAATCGACTTTCATCCCAATCAACAAATCGATATCCATCAACACCTCTACTTCCTCATTCACGTCAAAATACTAATAAATTTGATTATCATTCATATGAGTTTGATATGTCACCTATGACCATTTTCGATGATACTTATGATGATAGTGATTCTATTTCAAGACCTAGCAGTTTTCGTTCATGTCTTGATAGTATTAATGATTATTCAGAAAATAATATTACTGATTTATCATCATCATCATCATCATCATCGTCATCATCATCATCATCATCATCGGAGAGTTATTTTCATGAGGTTTCTTTTAATTCTAATTTGAAACCAGAAATTTTTAATGAACAAAAAAAACACACACGATTATCTATTCGACATATTTGCAGTATTCAATAATTTTCTTGTACACTGCATTATTCTTTGTTTCGTTTTTTTTCGTTTTTTTTCAATAAACATAACATCGATGATAGGGGAATCGACTGATTTTTGTTTTTGCTAATTCATAATATCGTATCGTTAAAACAATCATCTACGTCTAATAGATACTAATTACTATGATAATGATTAAAATGCTCCATAATGACGAGTATTAATTAAGAACACTATTATATAGTCTGTTCTGAGAAATAAGACATTACTCATTAAATATATAACAATTCGTCATTTATCATTTTCATACAGATTATAAAACTATATATAAGAAATGTAAGTTAAAGATTTTTCACTATTCAAATTTTCTTGTTTAACATTTATTTAACAAACATGAACAACAACTACTTTTCACCTTCGTCGAATGAATATTCATCATCATACAATTATCCTTTCGAATATTCATTACCATATGCATCTACATCTGTTTATTTACCTCTATTGCAACTACCTTGTCCTGTTCATTCATCTCATACTTTTTATACACCTACAGCATCAACATCAATGAATGTATCACCTCATTCATATACGTATTATCAACAAGAACCACCGCAAGTATATTCTTCTTGTATTCAACAACGTATGTATCAAATCTTTCTTTTCTTTTATATCGATAAGAAATGTTAATCAAGTGAGATATTTTCCGATGTTAACCTTTTAGAGCAAAGAATATAATTACTATTATTGTTAATGCCCATTTCTTTAATTTCTAGAGACTATCATACATTCTGATGTTGATCATACACCTCTTCGTCGACATAAGTGTTTTAAAAAACATGAACTTCAAATACTTCATCAAACATTTATTCATGATTCTCATCCATCAACAGATGCTCTAGAACAATTAGCTTCACAATTGAAAGTTCCTATGGAGAAAGTTCGTGTAAGTTTCTTATTTTAGTTTCTGCTTGATCAACAAATAACATGAAATCTACTATCTTTTTCTAGCAATGGTTTAAAAATCGACGTCATAGTGAGAAGCAAAAAAAACGAACTAGCCTACCTGCACGAACATCAACAGACACTTGAATGTTTTGTTTTTTTTTTTTTGTTCTAATTTTAATTTATTGTTCTTTAATAAAACTTCAACAAGTTTCATATTTAACTGGTTAATTTATTATTTGGAATCATTGTTAAATGAAGTTGACGTAACGAAGAGAAGATGAGAGTTTCTCGTTAAGGAATTTTTATTGTTCATTGCAATCAGAGAAATTTTGAACTTGCTTTCCATTAATAACAATAGCGCAATTAGAAACATTAATTTTTGCATCACCACTAAGACGAATACATGTTTGTTCACCATTAGAAAGGTGAACAGGTCTGATTTTTCTTCCATTTTCATCTATAATTTCTTCGCTGAAGTAAGCACACACTATGTGTGGATTCCCAGGTGCATTGTGATCAAGGTGTATTGGTACGGAATGTTGATTGTTGTCATTGTCTTGTATTTGATATTGACGACAAATAGTACAGAAAGCTTTTATTTGTAATGTTTTTCGTAAACAGATTTCACAAAACGAATGACGACAAGAAGTTAGTGTTTCTCGGCAACAATCATTGTTGAATAATTCGAAACAAATTGGACATGATCGATTGGGTTAATCATTTGGTTGTTGGTTAACTAACTGTTGTGTGCCAGCAGATGATCTATTAGTTTGTGTCGATGATAATTCCATTAATGGTGAATCTTGGGCTGTAGAACGTAAAATTTTTGATGTGTATTGTTCGTGATTTATCTCGTATGTCATGACATTTGACGTGTTGGTATACATTCGTTGGTAAAGAACAAAATAAAAAAGAAAAATATGGACATGTCATATTGTGATTTGCTTATAGTATAAATCGTTTCTCTACTCCTTCTTCTATGCTTTCCGGCATTTTCGGAAGGCTTTTTTCCTCATTGTCTAGTTCAGATTATCTGGTTCTTTCCAAATCTATCTCATATTTTTTTGTCTATTCGTTCGCTTGTATGAAAACATTATTTAGTAGACTTTCTTTATTGAGTAATAAAATTGATCACTCATCAAGATCGTGTTTACGCCATATGCATGGTGCAATGCAATAATTGAGCCGTATGTTAAATATTAACGGTAAACCTGATTAACATGTGTGTGAATAATGATCAATTTATTATGTTCAATCGTATTGAAGAATGAATTTAAAGTATTTGTTAAATTCTGTTCAATTATCACTAAGTTTTTGATGCATAATAATAGTAACAGAATATAGTCATGATTATTGGATACATACTATTTATATAGTAATATTGCTTCTCGTATTCTTGTTAAGCCTTATACATTAAAAGGAAATTTTGAGTTTTAAAACCAAAGTACTTTTCAATGTTTCTTTAATTTATCTAAGTTTCCACTTATATGAGAGAAATCAAATAAACAATACGATGTATATATCTATATTCTGAATACATATCAAGTCCTGTATCTATTATATCTCACAAAAAAAAACAAACATTATAGAATACAGTAGTATGATAGCATATTATAATAAAAATAAATAAGTGTTAGGTTTCACATCTCGTAGATTGTTTCCTTTCCATCTGCTGTATATCTTATACAATATCAATCAGATCTGAATCGATGTTTCATATTCTGCTCGTGTGTTACTGCTCTACAACGATGTATGTTTGATGCAAGTACTATTATTATCAACATTAACATTTGTAAATGTGCCAATTATTTATGCATAGTAAAATTGCCATAAATTCTTTACATATCTTTCATTTCGATCAAGATACACTTTACTGTGGAAAGGAACAAGTGCAACTAGAAATTTGAAATTATAAAATGAGCATCTTTGTTAAGATTAGCAAGCTTCTCTTTCTTGTAATTTGCTTCCGTAATCGTAAAAAGTCGATTAATTTATATCTTTTATTTATTTAATTAATATAAAAATCAATTTTCAAATGATATTTATGACTAATTGTAAAGAAAACTTCGCAATTCAAATGGTAATAAGTATTTTGTACTAATAATGCAATTTTTTCAAATTAATTATGTTACACAACAGCCATTTTTATGATTTCTATTCATATCATGCGAATAGCTAAGACTATGCAATTTTTTAGTATTATGCGTAAACTAGAATGCTGAATAAACATTAAGAAACCTTATTTTTTGTTGCTTGGTTTAACTCCTGTCATTTGTTAACATATAACAAGAAAATAATGTGTCGCCATCTGTATATATCTTATATTTATCATTTGATGATTTCTAAAATCCACAATTTACTGTTGTCTCATGAATATTGTATATCGTGTCATTTTTGAGACCTTCAAATTCACTCATATAAATTCGATCATTCGTATTTAACTATAGGTAAATAAGAAAATGCCTCCACCACAATTACGATCATCAAATAAAAATAGTTTATCTTCATCGAAGTTGTCAACACGATTCAAATTACAATTAAAACAATTTCTAAATTTATCCTTCTACAAGGATCTTCTTATAAACCCAAAGAAATCAATTTATATTATGATTGGTCTTTTTATTTTGGAAATATTTCTTAACATTTTTATTATAAAAACAACCAAGTATACAGAAATTGATTGGCAAGCATATATGCAAGAAGTTGAAGGTGTTGTTAATGGTACATTTGATTATTATAAATTAAAAGGTGACACTGGACCTCTTGTGTAAGTATAAATCACAATTAAAAATGAAAGATTTGAAAATTTTTTCCATTTAGTTATCCAGCTGGTTTCGTTTATATTTATTTAATATTTTATTATATAACCAATTTTGGTAATAATATTCATCTTGCTCAATATCTCTTTGCTTGTCTATATTTAATTATGATCTCAGCTGTGTTCTATATTTATTATCGAAATGCAAAGGTTTTTATTTTGCTATCTCTTTTTTTAACAGATGATGCAAAAGTACTATCTTAAATTTTGTTTTCAGTATAATCGTGACAATAACTCATCATGAAGACTAGTTAGAAATAAAAAGCTGCATCAAAGTATTTACCGAAGGCTGAAAACTTTTAAGATCCTCCGCCTGAAAAAACAGTCTTAGCCCAGAAATGTTCAAATGACATGAAGTTTTCAGAATATATTGGAGCTGTAGTAGAAAAGCTATGATAGAATTTTTGAGCGCAATATCACGACGTTTGAGGGAAATATCTATCAGACAAGGGTAAAAATTACTCATTTGTCAACCCAAATTTCTCGGTTCAGGTTCATTTTATATATTGAATTTTCTTTTTTTCTTTGAACGAACATGTCAGAACGCAGTCTTTCCAAAAAAAAAAATGTTTAATACATCACATAGTCCTGGACTGAGAAATTTAGATTATGCGTTCGACATATCATGAGTTGAGAGAAAACGAAACAGATTTTCGATTTTTTTTCTAAAATGACTTATTTTTTGAATAGGCGATGACAGAAATCTTCAAAAATTTGTGAAAAAAAAATGAGATGTCGGTGAAAAATTGTTGTCGTTTATGAGAGATTAGACCATGGGCTATCTTCTCCTGCATTTATCTTGATTTCGACCCTTCTGACAAAAACTGAGTTTTTTTAGAAGAGCTTAAAAGAACATGTTTTAGTGGAGAAGTTCTCTGAACGCTTCTGAAAATAGGAAGGAAACCTCTATCTACTAATAATATTAATTATATTTACTATCTTTCATTGAATTTAGTAGCGCTACGATAGAGCATTATAAAAACGGAAAGATAAAATTTTTCCGTTATTCATTAAATTCGAAATCCAGTGTTCACAACTGACAAGTACTGTCAAAAAGCCAGGTTTTTTTTCAGCAATCAAAGCTTGTGAAACTATATTTAACGAGCGGTTTATAAAAGCACATTATATAAAGCAGAATAAAGCTGTTTATTATAAAAACTATTGTTGTATAATTCGAATATTTTGATACTAGTGGAAAACTTGAATTACGTCGTTTAGACTCACACGTGAAATGGCCAAATACAAGACTCCTTTTTATCCAAAT